GCTGGCGACATCCTCGTCCGCGTCGCGAAATTTCTCCAAACGTATTCTACACGTACCGCGCTTTACCGGATTTGCGATTGCATGTAACGATGGATTCACTAAATCGATCCTTACATTCCGGAATCAAGCAGGAAAGGATTATTCCATTTCACGAAACGTACGATTCGATTACGGCAATCAATAAATCTTCTCTCGAGAAATATATTTTAAAGTAAGATTTTCTCTATATGTTCGTAAAATATGTGTGATATGCTGTTTTTTTTTTTTGTAAATGAAATATATTTGATGATTTATAAATCTCGCTATCTCTTAAACAAATTCAACTTGCCGTGTCCGATCTTCGACATTTTAATACGGGCTGCTCGTTGTCTTAGTCTTAGAAAACGTCAGGTTTATTAGATGTATTTATGAGACGCAGCTAAATTCCATAAGCGTTCCGTCTGACCGCTAAGTCTCGCTAGTAGTTGGTACAGAAGAGATATACGTCTTCGCTGTTCCTCATTTGCGTGCGTCAACCTTTAGTTTATTTATGCCGCGACGGGTTTTTAGCATGTATTTATGATCGTTGAGGTTTCCGTCGTCACACCCCGAGAGGTCGCGTTGCTTCTCCCCTAAAAGAGAGACGACGTCGTCGGTGTAACGCGCCGCGCACTCTTCGTTAGTCTCCGTTGTATATAACTTATTAATTACGGTTGACTAATGCGCTCCAGCTGTGCCACGTAGCAACATCTTACCTTCTCCCTTCGTCCGCCAACCGTCCTCCAACTTTCTCCCGGTGCTTTCTCGGCAGCCCTTAGAGAGAGGAAAGAGAGTAAGAAGAGAGAAAGAGCGAGGGGGGTAGGAGGAGACGACCCGGCAGAAACGAGACGAAGATCCTGCTAGAGCGTGAAAGAGGAAGGGTAGGGGGGAAGGGGGTGTAGGTGGTATGGAAGAAGACGGGAGAGAGAAGAGAGTAGAGCGCGAGGGACGCTAGGCAGTAACTCACGCCCCCGAGAGGATTACCTACCTTGGCAAGGCTGGAGGAGGGTATATCCCACGTTGAGCTACGATCTTGCTGCGTAGCTACGCGTTCCTCATACCAAGTGTCCTCGGTACTCCCGTGCCGCGTGCAAACAGGGTTCTTCGAGAGCGTGAGCGCGTTCCGGATGGCACCGGAAGGCCGAAACTGGTGATACGTGAACGGACTATAGCACTCTTCAAACGAAACGGAATATTGTTACAGGATGCGCACTTAAAAGGGGCACGAAATATTGCCAAATTATTATTCATTTGCTTAATTTTTGTTAACCATTATTTGTGAAATCTTAGTTTTTGCCATATTTATGAAACCAACATTTTTTTCCCATAGAAAAAATATTAATTTAAAAAATTTGATCTTTTTATATAAAATTGTAAAAAAATAAAACTTGTATTATAATAGAGTAAGCGCGTAAAGAAAACTTCGCGTAAAAAATAAAAACGCATCGATTAATCCAATTAAAATATTGGAATCTTTTTTTTAAATGCAGTTGCGCGCACGTAATAATACAGAAATATGGAACATTATAATTATTTAATTATATTATTTGCTTTATTAGATTTTTCTATTACCGATTATTTTATTGATGTAATCCAGTAACGTGTAATAAATTATACAACGTATAATACGTTACAGCAATACTAAGCATTATTTAATTTAGAAGCAAGAAATTTACGAGGACGCGCTCTGGTTGATGTATCGCCAGTCTTACGTACAAAAACTGTCCAACGTTGCGGAAACTCGAAGGGGCAAGCCTATAGGAAATATCTCAGGAGGAAGTCTGGGAAGTCCTTCATGAACCCAATTCACTTACTTTGATTTGATTGGCCCCCGCGTATGATTCGACTTCGTATATATACACGCACGTAGCAAAGGGAAACGGGAAAGGAGTGAGGGTTGCCGAAGCCAAGCTTTGGTTGGCATCGTGTTTTGCAAAGTTATACCGGCAAATCCCCAACAGCAATCAACGTATTGGCTGTTCTTGTTAGAGTTGGCAACCAGTTAAGTTGGGCTCCCTACCTCAGTTTATGGTCGAATACGTCGAATACGTCGAAACGACAAATCTCTTTCAACCGACGTTTTCCCCTTCGCATTTGAAGCTGTTCTCAACGAGCCGAAAAAAAGCATTTGATTACTTCGTAAAATTTTCTTCCACTGAGCTTCCGACTTTCCAATTCTTTTTCAGGATTGCTTTTCTTTTTCAATGTGCGTAATAAAAGTGCATTAATTGGAACAATTCATAATGTAATTTATAGACTGATAAATGTTTACGAATTCAGCATTTTTTAATACAAATTTGCGAGCTTGTAAAATAAGATAAGTTTATCTTACATATTTTGTATTACACGTAATTCTTTAGAACTTTATTTTTGTTATAACTCAGACTTTTGAAAGAACAATTCGTTGGACGAAGGTTTGGGCGGAGTTGAAATTTTCCAGGATATACGGGCAAGCATTTTTCAAGAAAGGCGTGAATAACGACCGAAATATTTTTCGCTCTTCTAAACATGCTCTACGGTTTTCCCGCTTTGCTGTTCAGCCAACCAATTCCTCTTGGCATGCCTTACCGATCTTCTTCTTTGTTCCTCCAAATGAAAGCATTTTAAGGGGTCTTAGCATAAAATTTATCCACCCCTTCGGTTAAGCAACCATGCGCACCTCTTTTTACTTTACGGGGAGCGCGGTAATCTTGATATTTCATCCCCTAATTTCGCCTGGTACGCGATATCTCATGGATAAGAAGTCATGCGGGGCGAGAGTAGTTCAGTAGTTCATGAATTTGAAACATGCACAAATCTGAGAGCGAGAATAATTAAAAAAAAAAAAAGATGAAAAGAGAGATTGAGAATTTCCAAATTATTTTTATAAGAGGATAGTTTCTAAATTATTTTATACACATTTTTGAAAAACTTGTAAAAATATTTCTAAATGATGGTGATATATAAAAAATATCATAAAAATAAAACATTTTATCATTCATCGTCAACAGTTTCGCAAAAAATATCGAAATTAAAACATTTTAATATTTTATCTTTGTATCTTTTATACTTTATTATTTTATATCGTAAGGGAGCTTTATACTTTTCATAATTAAAGTACTTTTCATCATGAGTTCTATGAAAGAAATCTCATGATTGTAAAAGACAAATATAATAGATTTGGCAAATGATATAGCATGCCACATTTTCTACTTCGCTGATCTATATGAAAGCGATTTGAGACAGACCCTAGTTTCATTTACAATTTGGTAGAGAGAGAAAGAGAGAAAGAGAAAATTTATTGCTCCTATCCTTATTGCGTTTGCATTTCGAAAAAGCGCGTGCCAATGAAACATGGAGAACGATTCTGTGGGAGCTAGGATGATGGAGGAAGGTATGATAGAAGATTCCGAGATGGCAGGGAACCAGACTCGACGCGGGCGATCCGTGTGACAAATAACCGTTAAAAATACGCCGCGTTGTAATTCCACACGCCCTCCTCTCTGTACTCGGTGCGAGCCAGGGCGACATGACAACCCGGTATGAGGATCGCGGGGGTGTCACAGGGTGGCGAAGAGAATGGGATGAGGCGCCCGGAGGGATAGCGGTTCGGACGGCAGGGCACTTGATTACGTCGCGATAATAAACATCACGCTCCGATATAAACCTTGTTTCGGTGTACCGGCATGATACGGATACAATGGTCGTCTGGAATTGCGGCAGCGTATGCGTGAATCACGCACCGTGTGATTTTATGCACTTTGTTGATAACAGATCGGTACAGATGCGATTATAAATTTGAAGCGTTTATTGGATGACTAGATTCATATCGGGATGTTGAAACATATTAGATTCTTACATATTGAACAATTATATTATATAAGAGATTTCTCTTTTTACTTATAAACTTTCAAGTTTTTGCCATATTAAAGAGAGAGAGTGATTAATTTGTGTGCACTCGGACCTTTTGATAAACGCATTATTCCGTCATTGACAGTTTGATAAAAAAAAAAAAAAATATAAGAATATGAAATAATATTTCCAATATTCTTGGTCATCGAGAAGATCTATTCTAGTCGAACACGGAAGGATAAGCCGATAGAGAGCGGAAATCGCAATATTATAGATATTTATGTACTTGGGCACGCACCGTATGTGAGCGAAAACAGAGTAAAAGGAGGACTCTGCTTACGGTCGAGGAGAGAGGTCGGTTTAGGTTGGATACCGGTGGCAGAGGTGAAACGGGAGGGTTTTTACGAGGCAGTAATGGCCGATAAGGTGAGCTTGCGCCCCCACTGTCGGGGCTTACTCCGCTACTGTACCCAAGTGACTGCTCAACAGTACCTATTCCCGCCGTCGTATACTCTCTTACTTTCTCCCGTTTGTTCGGGAGAACGACTCATGCCACGCTTTATTTTAAGCCGTTTACACATTTCCTTTATCGGCACGGGCCTCGTTTATATATCGCCGCGTCTGATATTCGCAGCGCCGCGGGATATCAGAAATTCATTAGAATACTCTTTTAATAAGTATCTTAAGCGGCAGCTCATAAAGATAACAACTCCTTTTAGAACACGATAAGCAGTAGGGATGGAATGACGAGCCGACGAAGTCTACATACTCAATAGGCATCGCACATAAAATAATACTCGCCGATATACCTACTTATCTTCAAATGAAAATTTATCGCGTTCATAAAATCAACTTTTTTCCAATTTTAACTTCCAATTTTACTTTCCGATGGCTGCCTCGCGGAGATACGATTCGCATATTGTTATCCGCGAGATAAAAATTTCTTTGAGCATTACATACTCTGTCGACGTCCGAAGCGCGATTCGATACACATATCTGTATTGACAGAGTTCGATTAACATATTGTTGAAAGTTATTTTCGGCCGCTGTTTTTTTAATATATATTCTTAGGGGTACTCGCGTGATAGATATAGTATCAAAGAAAAGAACAAAGAGAGCCCGCCACAACTTTCTCGTCTCGTTGTTTGCAGGGGCGAACGGAATGCGCAGGCGCGGCCGACAGACCTACACGCGCTACCAGACTCTGGAGCTCGAAAAGGAATTCCACACGAACCACTATCTGACCAGGCGGAGGCGGATCGAGATGGCACACGCGCTCTGCCTGACGGAACGGCAAATCAAGATCTGGTTCCAGAATCGGCGAATGAAGTTGAAGAAGGAGATTCAGGCGATCAAGGAGCTAAACGAGCAGGAGAAGCAAGCGCAAGCGCAGAAGGCAGCAGCAGCGGCGGCGGTTGTGCATCAGCAGCAAGGGGCTGGCGGGGGACCCGAAGGGGCCAACTAGGGGTACGCCCTGCATCGGAGCCCCCCTGACCACCCCACCGCTAATCCACACCACCCTCTACTAGCACCGCAATGTACACAGCTGTATTAAAGGTGAGTAACTTTTGTAATAATTTCTTATTCCAATTCTTGGTTAATTAATCAAGTATTACTCAAACACACCGCGATCCATTAAAATAATTTTTTTCTTTATGACAAACTTTTTGATGTTTCAACATTTTTACAAAGTAGATTTTAAATCGACTGAAGAGAAGACGTAATTTATATAAAGCGAGCGCTAGTATTTCAGTAACAATCTAATATACTATAATACATATTCCTGTTTACGTCATTCGCGGGAATTAATAAAACGGGCATATATGCCCTTTGTGCAACAGTTAGGATTATGTGCCATGCACTAAAAAAATAATACTCGTATAAATGTTGAAAGCGGCGTTAAAAATGAGATTCGAGCTTTTAGCAGCAGTGGCCTTAAAATTAAGTTTAGTCGGCGGGCTTAATGAGGATAAACCGCGTGCAAGCGTGCCTTCATAATTTTCTAAGTTATGCTACTCGCGTGTATTTAACTTGCGTTGAACGTGCGTCCCAAGGGAGCGATAAACCAGACTTGAAATATTGCATCTATATCGCGTTTACCCTATTGTTTTTACTCTGCCAATAATAAATAAAAAAAATTAGTTTTCTCATGTTACGTCCATTGACTTATACATGAATGTAATTCTCGTATCAGACAAAAATTACGATATTTCACACCGCGTTATAGCCGCAGAATAAAAAACTGTTACGTACGATAAAATCAAAAAAAAGAAAGTAACTTAAAAGCGATAAATTGCTTAAAGCAGATAAATAACACAAAAAAAGAAAATAGAAAGTCCAGTCAAGCAAAAAGAAAAGAAGACAATAATCCTATTGGCGCTATTTATCCCCAAAAAAATCCGCAATATAATCTGTATTTTTATCAGGCCATTTTAATCAGGCCATTCATTTTCGGAAAAATAAACTACCATTCGATTTGCTCGATCGAGGCAAGATAGATTGTAAGAACGGTTCCCGCCTTTTTCACACTCACGAGAATCTCTATCGTCTCTCGAGCATTTACGACTTTCTTATATGTTTTAGTTAAAAAACAGACCTTAAAGTTGATTCCATATGCAAGTCTAATGGTTATTTATGTATATCTTTGTTTTCCAATAGAATATTTTATCATCTACAATTTTTTATATCTGCTCTTTTTATTAAAAAACATTTATATAATAAAATATTATTTTGCTTAATCTTTTCAATGTGTATAAGATATGTAGATATAGAATATCAAATATATGTTTTCTCTCTATAAAACAAAAAAGAGAAACACTACAAAGCAAAATTGGCAGACTAGTTTATCATGTACATTCTCAAAATATTTGAAACGTCTGCAGCAGAAAGGAAATACGCCAGGTAGAAAACTTTGATCGAAACTTCTTATTCCTCAAAACCTATTGGAGCGCTTAATATCCCTTTTTTGGTATCTTTGGACGACTAAGAAGTTCGGACATAAATTTTGCCCCGACTGCGCGTAATATTACGGCACACAGCGAAGCGATTCCCCGATTAACTCCGAGTATTGCGCCGTAATTGTACGCCACTTGAATCGCGATTAAATAACGCGCCCCACCCTAGTGATGTTTATTTAATCACGCTTATTTAATCGCCCGTATCAGGAGATGATTGTATCCTTAAAATAGAATCTTTATCGATTTCCCCGACAATTAGTAACGAGATATAAGTGATTCGTGCGTAGATAAACTAGATTTGAAAATGATCTCAATCGTGATTGATTTCTATTTTACTTTTTACGCTTTGCGTTCTCATCGTATCTCCTTTCTGATTTATTTCCTTTTTATCTCTAATCTAATTTTAAGAAACATGAAGCAGATGTAAATATAGAATACATTAAAAAATGTTTTACCACAAGAATCTGATAAAATTGAATCGTAGCTTAATGTGGCATCTAAAAAAGAGTAAAACGTGGATTTGCTTCCGTGAGCCCATACATGAGATATATGCGAAGATATTTTTTAACGATGAACATGAAAAAGCAATTTAGAAAGACTTGGATGGGCGATGCAAAAACGATCGCGGCGACATCAGAAGATTAATTCATATGTTCTCTCTCAAGTTAGAATCGTCTGTGAAAAAATTCTCACAATAAAAAAACTCACCCTAAGATTGCTCCGCCGTCACCCGGGATTTCTTCTAGATTATCTCTTCAGATTATCAGATCTCTTCTTTCTCAGATTCATTGCAATCGCACACTCGTTCGCGATATAAAATATGGTGATGACAATTGTGCGCGAATCATCCGTGACATAATGTTGAGCTTTATTTGAGTTGAGTCTATTTCTCAGATTATCGGTGATATTAAAATTGTTTGCTTTTTATACTCTGCATATAGATATGTAATATAGCATATACGAATATAAATGTACAGTAAACAATAGGGCAATGCCATCTATCGGTTTCAAAGGTTTTGAGTTAGTTATGGCTGCTTCATCCCCCCGCTTGTGGGCGTGGCTGAGGCATGGACATGGACACATCTATTTTTTGGCACTCGGTCCGGTCATTCATCATGGAAATTTATCGTTATCTCGTGACACAAAATTATCAAATTATACACCGAATACGTTAATTGTCAGCGAATAATAGTAATGTAGAACATGCGAGAAATAATATTCGAAATTTGAATTGCTTCATATAATACTCCGCGCGCGGCATTTGTTTCTCTATCATTTAACCATTGCCACTGTAGGTGGCAGCACAAATCAGGGTTAGTCAGTCGGCAACGCGTTGCGTCTACCTTACCGACTCCTCCATCGGTACGTGTAACTCAATTTAGGGAAGTTGCCTCTACCCACCAAGCAGGATATATTGAACGGTAGTTCGATGATCGCCCGTAATGCGCTTTATGGTTTGTTTTTATCGACGTGGTTATATAGTAACTCACGACCTTCCTGTTTCTCTCTCGACGATAGTGAACCGAATCGTCGATGCGTCGCTGCCTGTGCATGTGCGCGCACACTGGTTTGATCGTATAAACGCGCGCCGCTGAGTCGGCAGGGCTATTCACATTTTCCCCGCGAATGCATTCCCCGGAGCTATCGGTCAATAATCCAATAAACCCCGCGCAACTCGCAGCCCCATGAAGAGGAAATAAAGTACCGGCGGCGCGCTGCGTGATTTTATTGCGTAGTAAAGCGCGATTTCGACAGATCGATGCGCGATCACCATCGCTTCGCTCTCTCGCGCGCGCGCGCGTTCACTTTGCCGCTCGCCAAACTGGTAGGTCAGGGATCTTTATTGGCTGTAAAGGAAGACGTTTTACGATCCATAAAAGCGTTTATAGCGCCCAAGTAGTCTTACCTCGGTTCTTACATCCCGGTTATATCCATTACCCCTTCCGCGGCCTTTCCAAGGGCGGCCACTGGCACGCGTCCTCTTTCTCTCTCCCTCTCGCGACTTGCCTTTGAGATTTACAGGTTACGCTCCCGGTAACACCTCGTAAACTTGGCTTAACGACTTTAACCGGGCCTAACTGCTTCCTTCCTGCAATCAGACCCTGACCTACCTTGCGTACACACGGCCGTCCTAGAAAAATTCTGAGATACCGAGATAATCGAACGCGAAATCGCATCGCTTTGCGATTTTATCGATGAATTTTTCCATTCATTGAAGATGTGAGAATAAATTTTTAAATTTTACCAATTATTTTCATAACATAATATATCTCAGCATTTTTGCAAAATTATATATTTCTCATATTTATATTACGCGCGATATAATAATTAAGATTCACAATTATGTATTTAATTTTTTCCTGACCAAATTATAAATTTACGAACAAAGTATATATATATATCAATTTGGATTGCATGTTTACGGATTTTATTTTCAGCATAATATACATTAACATTCCTTCAAAATATTATGTATTTCGTAATTTTAAATTATTACTTTATTATATCGTTTCACGCCTCTCATCGAGCGTTACGGTAATAATTCTGCTTGCTGATTCTATCATGACATTTATAGCCATCATTATTAGCTGATATCGTTTCAATTCTCATAAAGTCTTCATTCAACCAGATTCATTTGAGACGCCCATGTAGATAGGCTAATGGAGGAAGTGGAAGCATGAGTTGTTATAAGGTTGATTAAGAAGGGAGGCTCTTACGACCTGGCTCGATGTTCTGCGCTACATTTTATATTGCTGTACACTTAGATAGATTTTAATTATCATTATCATTTAATCTCTATTTTAGAAATTATATACTTATCGAACTAGTATAATTTAATATAGAAAAATTTTTTTATTTTAATATTTTACGCAAGATGCAATTTTAGATTGCAATGTAATTGCATGTAATTGCCAACAATAAACAATATAAGCATTAGCTTTAACATGGATGTTTTATTATCGTTAAAATAATTTTGATTTAATCAAGTTACAAGCAAAAAAAAACTATCACGTATTCCGCAATCGTTTAATAGCTGCGTATATATTTTCGGTGCTCATCGTACGCGCAGCAAAGTATGAATTTTTTAAAATCTACTCTCACACTCGACGATATTAGCATTAAAAAGTGAGCAATACTCCGGCTCTCGGCGCCATTGCACCGCATTTACACAACAATAAGGGACCGCGATATAAAAACTCCGAGAATTCCCTGGCTTCGAAGTCCAATGAGAGATAGAGAAGAACCATGCGAGGCGAAAGGGAAACAGAGTATTCGGTGTCGTTTCCTCTCTCTCTCCCCTTGTCTCCTCTTCGTATTTTCCGTCTCTTATTCGACGGGGTATGAGACAAGACGGCTCGTGAAACAGGCTATGGGCAACGTTGCGCGCCGAAATTCTCAACACAAGACCTAAGGTCCGCATAATTTTTTTCTCTTTCCTTTTCGAGAGTCAACTAGCCTGTGCGTGTAGCATATGTTCACTCTACCCGGTTAGTTATTTCTAACATACACAATTTAACTGTGACAGTTACAATACGATTGTTAAATTATTTCTAATATTATTTTTATAGTTTAATCGAATATATTGTCAAAAATTATAAT